TAGGCATAATCTCTTCTCCTTCGTCTTGGAAATGTTTCTGAGGTCTTCAACTTAAATGTTATGTTTGTGTGAATTCCAACCCTCAAGAGCCTATCTTTCAAAATTTGTAGTTGAAGAGGTCTATAATACCCTGACATATTAAATATTTGTCCAGAATGTACTAGTAGCACAGAAAACACAATAACACTAAATTGTAATTTTCATTATTTAGGCAATACACTTGATAAGCAAGTCCAAGAAAGATCTACGGGAATGATTAGGAATCAAAATCTCTGTTACTTATTGCACTTTCACCAAGTGTGACATGGTGAAGCACCCCACAAAATAGCAACAAAAACATTAGACACACAAAAATGTAATTGTATTCCTTTATAAAACAATTTTCTTTGTATACTTGTATTCCATATGATTAACATAATTTATATAATTATATAATAATTTGTATAACGATTTATATCTCACATGAATGTTTATCTTTAGTACAGCCAGACATACAGAAAACAAATGCATTTGGGTCCCAAATAATTTTGGATTCTTATGTGTATTGGTGAAAAAAAGTAGATTCTAACAAACAAAAATTACGTGCATTAAAATGGAAGTTATTCTAAGAAACATGAAACTTGACTCCTAGTACCTAGTTCTCTACAAAGTAACTGGATTACTGAGGGCATGTTATCCCTTAATATTAGGACATCATTAATCTTAAATGTTAAATTGGAGGGGGAGGTGAGGGAAAGACTGCTTTAGGACTAGATGGTTTCTAAAGTTGCTGAAACTTTTTCAGAAAATTTTCAGCAGCTCAAAACCCATAAACCCAATAATTTAGATCATAGTAAAGACTTGCCACATTTATCAACCATGCTTATTGTGAGGAGGGCAGAAACTCCACTAGAAAATAATTCAAACATGAAGAAAATGGGGAAAGGGTATTAAGTGATAAAATGAGGAAAGTTGTCTTTACCTATGTGAAAACTGGAAGACTATAATATTACTGTTTCTATAGTAAGACTACTAACTGGTGCGGGGGAAAGAATGTGAATTAGGAGGCCATGCTTCTAATTCCATCTCTAACTTTTTAATCTTATGCAAATCTCAAAATCTATGGTCACATCTTCTATAATATAGCATTAATTAGTTCTAAGGAGGACTGTGAGAAAATCAGTAGGAATAAGATATTTAAAGCACTTTGAAGCATAGTGAAAATTTAAGAGGATATTAGCATTGGCATAATACATCAAGAACAATCTCTAGGATGCTGTTCATAATTCATGATTTTGAACATGGAAAAATAATTATTTAAGCATAAAAAAATACAGTACATATCAGAGAATTATATAACAAATATCCACGAATGCTCTACCTAGAGTTAAATGTAAATGGTTTGATCAAAACCTCAAGTTATATACTTAAATATATATAATTTTGATTTGTCAATTATAATTCAATAAAGATGAAGAAAAATGTAAATAGTTATATTTGGTTCATTTTTTTAAAGATATAAAGCATTGCACCTGGTGTCAGGTATTCTCTGACCCATTCCATATCCAGCTCCTAATTAATTTGTTGCACATCAATCCAGTCCACATTTTTACACTTTACTAAGAAAATGTATATCCATAAATAATGAAGTATTGATTTATTTTTTAAATCATATACATTGTAAGATTCATATTGTATTTTTCGCATTCTGAAACTCTTCACTTTTCATTGTTTTTATACCTATAGGTCTATTTTATATAAGTGCTAAGTAGTAATCCAGCTACGAATATATCACAATCTATCCACTAAATCATAGGAAAATATTTAGATATGGAAAAAAAATCACCTGATATAGGACTTCTTTTTTTTTTTGAAGATTTATTTATTTATTTATGCAAGCACTGGGTACAGTCAGAAGCGCGGGAGGGTGAGAGAATTCACCAGAGCCAGAGCAGGGAACAGAACAGACAGACTGACGAAATACATTGCTGAGGGGAGCAGCGGGCAGCAGGAGAGGTCTGTGCGCCATGTGGGACCCTCGCTGCCGGGGATCCGATGGGTGCTGCAGAGGCTGAGGGCAGCTTCGCAGCCCAGCGCTCAACCGCTGCGCCATCAGGGGAGGCCCAGTGATATAGGACTTCTTAAGCTGTAATTCATGGGCCCTCTTCCAGAAATGAGTTTTAGGAGGTCTAAAAAATTTGTGCATCTGTGGGATGAGCATTTTCCATTACAAGGATCAAAGCTTTGACCATATTCTCAAAGAGGTATATGTGCTAAATAGTTACCTATCCTAAGAGAGAGGAGAACTGTGGTCTAGTGCTCTCATTTGACATATAAAACTGGGGTGGAGAGCTTCACCAATTTATACAAAATCATAGTGATAATAGAGCCATTTACAGATCTAGGTCTATGTATATTGCTTTATCAGAATACCACATAATTGGGGTTTTGTGCTTGCTTGTTTGATTTTTATACATATGAGTTAAATTTCTTTCAACTTTCAGTGTATAAAGTACAGTTGCTGCTAAGGAGTTAAAAAGATTGGTACATTTTAATTGCTGTGGAAAATAATATGACATGATTGCTGTGGAAAATAATATGAAATAATGAAGTGCCAATAAAACATTGATAGCCTCTGGTATGTAATTTTTTACCGTGAGAAACAATTTCTAAAACTGGACAGCGCAACATGCACAAGATATTCTCCAAAGGACAAGTAGTGGAAAATATTCACTAATAATTGTTAAATCATGGTATGGCCACGTCTTGACTACCATGTAAAAAATTAAAGTTTTATAAAATGTTAAGTGATAGGAGGAAATGCTAACAACACAATATTAGTTGCAAATGGGCTACAACTACAAGTTCTACTTATGATTACAACTTCATAAAAAAGTCTGCACAGGAAAAAAAGAAAACTAGATAACTGATAATTTCTTTTTTCTCTTTTTGAAACCAAATCCTAGGTAATGCAGTTATGGTCATAAATTTTACAAAAATAAATAAAAAAAACAGTACAGTTTTGCAATTCATTCATATGCAGTCAATTTTAATAAGTATCCAACTTAATACGTTATCATCTTAAAATATTTCAAAGATAAAGATTTTTCTTTTGAAATATAATTTTCTAAGCATTGGAATATTATCTTCAGAATTATGTGTAAGATTACCTACCAATCACAGGTTGGTTAATTGCATCCACAAGACCACTGAGGCCAAACAGCTACTCAAATTCCATATACAAACTTGGATGCAAATTTCTAAATTTTTCTTAAGTGAATAGAATTAGCTTCTGCATTTACCTGACAAAATCATTTTGTAATCGTGTTATGTATGAAATCAGAGAGGTGTTTTCCCAAAAGAAGGCTTTTCTTTTTAATGTTTTGATGTTTACATTATTTCAGTATAAACAATTTTTTGGTGTAGGGTCCGCTTTATGGCTTTGTCATATGTCCTTCTAATTTTGATATTTCTGTCTAGTAGAGCCATCAAATTAAAACAAGCATATGTTCGTCTAAAATCAGTTCATTTCCCGTTTCTCTGCACGCAAAATACATTTTTTTTTCTTTCCTTCTTGGCCAATAAACATTTATGGTGACATTTATATTCAAGTTGGCACGCGAGCTGAACCAGCAGGGGGCGAAACACAATAGGAATACATTTGACAAGCTGTATATAGATTTTCCTTCCTTTAGTGACTGAGCAATGACAACAACAAAACAGTACCACAAAGCAATCCGTACTCCAATTTAAAGTGATGCAGTCTCCCTACATCTTACAGCAATTGAGTTGTAACGAAACAAATGCGGATCTATTTTAGCGCTCCAAGTTAATTTGTCTAGGACATTGCAGAGGAGGGATAAACCGTGATGAACTGCTTTTGTCCCTATCTTTCCCCTGATTTGCATAATTCCTCCACTCAAAGGGATGGACACTTCTCTGTGACTGACAGGGTATCTTCAATTTTGGTGTCTTTGCGAGGCTGCTCTGTTTTGGAACTATTACTCAAATTACCTGTGCAGGTTGGGGAAATGTGAGCAGAAAGACTACCTAGCAGGACTCATCATTTGCAGGGTACGACCCCCGGGTTCATCATCCCGGAATGTAATAATCCTCGTAGTCTGATTTTCACAGTGGCTGGTGCTCTAACAGATATGCATAACAAAGGAGGGGGAAAGGTTATAAAACGCAAATTAATCAACTGCTCAGGACTGATAGAAAAAAAATTCTAAGAAATGCAGAAATTGATTTGATTCCTTCAGTCTCACCGAATGCTCGCCTACTGTCTGGGGGGGGGGGAAAAATCAAACACCGTCTCCATTCGTTAGCAAAATCCCCAATTTTTTGTTGTTGGTCTCCAAGACGACTTGTCAGTTTGGCGACTGCTCTCTCTCTTACTTCCCATCTTAAGTTAGATCCATGACAATCTCTTTATTATTTGTTAAATATCATCTTTCCCGTCTGTCAGTTTAAATTAAAAAGAGAGGGACAGACTGTGAATGAAAAAGTCGTTTTGGGGGCCAAAGGACAAGCTAATTAAGTGCTACCCAGTAGGTTTTTGGTGAAGATAGATTCTGTATTTGCAAACCTTTGAGATTTTATTTGGAGAGAGACCCAGAGCGGGCTTCAGTTAAACGTTAATGTTAACTGACCTAGAAGCGCCTGTCCCCAGCCCGGAGCGCTGGCTCAGCAGGCGGCGGAGTGCGGGAGGAACCCTCTTTCCCCTCCCCCTAGTTCCTGGACTCGCAGGGAAGTAAAAGAAAAGGGTAGCTTGCCCGCGTCCAAAATGGCGGCCGGCGCGCTGCGCGTCGGCGCCTGCGCAGGGGTAGCATTCTGTGACACTGACTCCCCTGGAGTGTCCTTCCCCCCCCAGCCTCCAGCACCCACCAAAACCCGGCCCCGACCTAGCCACCTGCGCCCGGAAGTGACGTTTCGTGACAGCGGTTCTCCCGCTGCATGATGGGAGAGTGTGTGGAGTGGGCGGGGGGTCTCCGCGGAGGAGGTGGAGGCGGCGGCGGAAGAGGGCGGAGGGTAGTGGAATGGGGGTCCCGCGGCAGCGCTGAAAGTCCGGGTGGGCGTCCATGGCGCTGCTTCGCTGACAGGACCGTGAGCAGCCTGCCTTCCGCTCGCACCAGCTCCGCGTCGGAATAGCCGGTCCTTCCCCGGGGAGCCAGTTCCTCCCCGGCCCCTGAGCCATGCCCATCGCGGCCGCCCCGGACGAGCCAGGTAAGCGCCGCCGCTGCGCTCCCCAGCCGCCGGGGGAAGGGTCCGGGGACCCGGCCGGCGCCGGCGGGAGCCTCGCCTGCCCGGGGACACCTGCCAGCCGCGGAGCGCAGGGCTGCGGGGACGCCGCCGGCTGTGCGGGCCTGCGGGCTCCGGCTCGGGCTCTGCCCTCTTCCGCGGCGGGTGCGGGGACGCCGGCGGCGCCCGAGGCGCACGGCCCCCTCCTCGCCAGCCCGGGCACCGGCCGGGGACGCGTGTCCCATCGCCGCGTCCCCGGCCGCCGCCCGCCTGCCCGGCCCGTCGGCTCCACCTGCCCAGACTCGGCGCCGCCGCTCCCTTCGGGAGCTGTTGAGAAGTTTGGGGCTTTGCTAAGGCTTTGCTCGGGCTTCCTCTTTCTCCCTTCCCCCTCCCTCGTGACAGGTGTAAACACTGCCTGCTTCGCCCAGGCCGGAGGCCGGCCACGTTCGGAGTGGGCTGCTTCAAGGGTCTCTGAAGCAAGCGGATTTTGAACCCTCCAACAGGCAGAGGAGACGGCCCCAAAGCTCTTGGCATCCCTTCCTGCGAGGACCTTTTCGGCTCTCTTCTTGCACTCCACAAGAAATAATCTGCGTCTCCTCCCCAGATTAGGTTCGAAAAGTTGGACCATTATTCTTTAAACGCCGGTTTTGGCAGGTGCAGCGTCTTGCTTGGCAGAGGACAGAGTGTAGAGTGGTTGGTGGTAGGTTCCTTTTTTCCATTAGGAAAGTAGTGAGAGTGGCTAGGTTTTTCTCTTGCTGGATAATGCAACTTATGGCTTGATTTCCCACTGAATTGGGGCAGAAGGAAGGACTAACTCATGTCTAAATTTATTTTACTGGAGGTGCAAGGGGAGGCAAAGAAAAAAAGCAGTGGTTCCGTTTCAGAGTTCTCACTCTAAAATAAGAAAAGTAGAACTTTACTTTTCGACTTTTCCTTATCTTCCCTTTCACTGGCAACATTCCTATACTTCCAATTTGGGGTGTGGTTTTTATGGGGTCTCTTTTTTCTTTTCTTTTTTTTTTTTTGGTGGTGGGTATACAGTTTAATCCTTGATGTTATTTAGTTGTTGCTTTTAAATTAACCTTTTAGGCATAAAAATGTATGTTAAACTCTAGGGGAAACAATATTATGTTGATATAATTTGCACAGTTTACTACGTTACATGCTTTGCTGACTTAAATGTTGACTTTTGTAGTAGTCATTTTTAACTCTTTGAGAGGTATATGTATTTAAACAAAGTATGGTAGTCTTCTAAATATTGTCCATGGAGATATTTCACATGAAATAAAAGATACATCCTATGTAAAACATCTATCCCAAGTACTTGTTATATCTAATTCCTGCTTATGTATTAGATATATTAATTGATCTTCAGAACATAGGTATACATTTAAATCTTTAAAAGCTCTTGAAAGAAATTCAGTAGAATTCACATAAAACATAGAACATTTAAATTTCTGGTTTTTGATCAGTTGACCTAGAGACTTATTAAAATGATCCCATAGCCAAGCAAAGATAGTGTCCATATTTGCATTGATAAATTTTGCAGAAGCCAGTTGTCTTTATCTTGTAATCTGTGTGAATTCTATTATAAAATATTTTGAATTTTAATTGTTCTACTTAGAGTTAGTGAAAAGCTAGTTTAAAAAACTAGTGAAATTTGAGTATCAAATAATGCTTTCTATTGTGTGAAATCTGCAGTGCCTCCCTTAACAGTCTGGGAAATCTTTGAATAGCAGCTCATTGAGGGATGATCTCCTTTCTCCCAACTCTGTCCCCCAAAATTCATTAAAGGATACCAGTTAAGTATTGGGGCATTTTAAGCAGTCATAAATTATCTAAATCAAATGTTTATAGTCTCATTTAATGATCCCTACAATTTGTAAGCTGAAAATAAAGACTTTTTTCCTCCTCTCTAGCACTTTCAATTCCTCTATAAGTAGCATGGTGAAACTTCCCAGCCTGAACTTCATGAGTATGTCTAGTTTTTACACAGTTTTGAAAATATCTGTTACTGTGTAGATTATATACATCATTATGTACTCTCTTCTATGATCATATACACACACACCCACTCTCAGGTTCTTTTACAACTTTATATGATAATTATTAACACTGATACAAAGTACTTCCTGTGAGTGACATATTTACTGAATGATTTATATACAGTATATATTAGCTCATTGAATCCTCACAGCATTCCTGTAAACTATTAGCCACAGTTTTCAGAGAGGAAGCTGAGGCACAGAGATGTTAATAACTTTCCTAAGGTGAAACAGCTGGTAAGTGACAGAATATAATATGCTATTTATACAGCTTTAAAACATGAAAAACTATATATTTTCTGGAAATCATAGAATATGTAGTAAAAGTGTGGAAACATGCATGGGAATGGTGAACACCAAATCAGAATAAAAGTCACCCCTGGAGAACTAGCAGGACCTGGAGATTTCCAATTATAACTTTACTGTCATTGAAATAAATCTGAAGCAGATTTGGTACAAATTAAGATTCAGCACAGCTAGGTATTGGGTATTTGATCATATGTTACATTTGCCCCCTAAATTTTTTTTCAAGATTTATTTATTTATTTATACAAGCACTGGGTACAGTCAAAAGCATGGGAGGGTAAGAAAATTCACCAGAGCCAGAGTGGAGAACAGAACAGACAGACTGACGAAATACACTGCTGAGGGGAGCAGCAGGCGGCAGGAGAGGTCTGTGCGCCATGTGGGACCCTTGCCCAGCGGCCGGGGATGGAACCGGAGCTGCAGAGGCTGCAGGCAGCTTCACAACCCAGCGCTCAACCGCTGCGCCACCGGGGAGGCCCTGCCCCTAAATTTTATTCTGCTTGAAATCATATTAAAATAAAAAGTTTAGGTTTTTCCCATGTGAGAGCACATCTAAAGTATCACTCTTTCAGCATTATGTGTTTAAAATGAGGACAGGGCCTCCCCTGGTGGCGCAGCAGTTGAGTGCTGGGCTGCGAAGCTGCCCGCAGCCTCTGCAGCGCCGGTTCCATCCCCTGCCGCTGGCGAGGGTCCCGCATGGCGCGCAGACCTCTCCTGCCGCCCGCTGCTCCCCTCAGCAGTGTATTTCGTCAGTCTGCCTGTTCTGTTCCCCACTCTGGTTCTGGTGAATTCTCTCACCCTCCTTTCGCGCTTCTGACTGTACCCACTGCTTGTATAAATAAATAAATAAATCTTTAAAAAAATGAGGACGGGGAGGAGTTAGTGTTGTTTTGTGTTGCTTTCCTTTTAAAATACAAGGAGGTTCTAACTTTAAAATATGTAAGAATTCTTAGGGGCCTCCCCTGGTGGCGCAGCGGTTGAGCGCTGGGCTGCGAGGCTGCCCGTATCCTCTGCAGCGCCGGTTTGTTCCCCAGCTGCCGGCAAGGGTCCCACAAAAAAATAAAAAATAAAAAAATAAAATATGTAAGAATTCTTGTCCTTCCCAACTAATTGTTGCCAACCATCTCAGTACCCTTGTATCATACTCATAAAATCTATTTCTGGCCTTATGCTAGGATAGGGACTCATGGGTTTGAATTTTGCCTACTCACTGGGAAAGTGAAAGGTCCGAAATTACACAGTGGAAAGGAAGCAGTGAGGTGGAAGTCATTGCTTATTAGATGGGAGGAAATCAAAAGAAAAGAAGAAGAAATTTCACACTCCATCCTATCATTCCTCAGTCATGACCACCCTGATTCCAAATAACTAAAGTAAACCTTGTAAAGATAAATTGCCAATAAATTCAAACTTGTCAGTGTGCTCAAAGCTTAATTTACAAACACTATTTTGGTTAATAGTTTCCAGAGGAAAATTAAGTAGTAAATCAAATTATTTATATAAATACTTGCAATATGTCATAAATGATTTCGTCTAAATATCTGCTGACACCATGGTATTCACTTCCTTTCATTTATACAACAACTATTTATCGATACTTACTATATGTCAGGCCCTGTTCTAAGTGTTGGAGATACTGAAATGAACAAACCAAATTGGCCCTCATAGAGCTTTAGTTTCACGGATGTGTATGTGCATTTGCATGCGTGTTAGTCAAATATAAAGATGGCAGATGATACTCAGTTTCATAGAGGAAAAATAAAGTCAGTTTTGGGGATTAGGAATATGGACATTTTTAGTTTGATCCTGGAGTGGGAGGTTGGTGTTTTATATAGGATGGGCTCAGAGATGGTTTTAGAACCTGAAGAAGGTGAAAAAAGTGAGGGGAAGAAAGGTGGAAGCAAAAGTATGCCCACACTCTACTAGGAAGATAGTAGGTATGGTCAGAGTTAGAGAGCAAGGGCTGTGTTGTAGAGCTTTGTAGAAATTCTAATGACTTTGGCTTTTTACTGTGTGAGATAGGAGGCCATTCTAGGGTTTTGAGTAGAAATGTGACATAATTTGAGCTTTGAAAGGATCTGGCTGGCTGCTATACAGAAAAGAGAACTGTAGAAGTACAAGGGTGGAAACAGGAAGAATCCATTAGGGGGTAGTTACAGTGATATAGCTAAGAGAAAGCAGTGACTTTGAACCAACATAAATATATATAAATATACGTCCTACATTTTAACCAAACTGTGTTATATGACTTACTTCTCCTTGACAGTTACCCCATGCTTTGTCTTCAATGCCTGTCATATTCTGTATCAACTAGATGCTTCCCATTTCAAATTCTTTCTCCTTCTGAAGGCTTTTCCTCATTTTTACCATTCTTTCTGTTCCTAATTGGGATCTTTTTCTTATAGTCTTATAGATCCTTAGTAGTCTTATAGTCTTATAGATCCTCAATTGGGATCTTTTTCTTAATAGTTGTGTTTTACTTCATTTGATGTTTATAATCTATCTTGCAATAATTACTTTTACTATTGTTTTGATTCCCTAATTGTGAGTTTCTTTAAGGCTATGACTCTTTTCTCACTTCTGCCAGTTATATAGACCCTAGCACAGTTTTATATGTAGTAGATGCTCAATAAGAAG